ATGGAAAGCGAAGAATGTGGAAAGAAGTTGTTTCTTTCATCCTCTCTCTCTTTTCTCATTCTTTTTATGTCTCTTCCTTTTCTTTTCCTGAATGCCAATTGGATCAAGGAAATCAGGACGTGGTGCATGGTGATTGGTCGAGACACTCATGCAAAGATGGCGTGCTTGTAAAAGCGAAAAGAAAAACAACTCATTCTCATGCATACATGTCTTGTGCCAACAGCGCTTGCATCATCCGCGGAGAAGATAAATAAAAAATATAACACGATGCATGATGACATCGATTTTTCTACATCATCTACTGATGAGGGTGATGACATCGTCTTTCATTGTGCATCCTGTGATCTGCAGGTGAAGACTCACCTTCGATGACGCGCAGGAGCAAACATGCTATTGTGCGGGAGTATATTTTATCCTTGTGATTAGGCTTGAGTCATGAGGGAGAGAGAAGTACAACGATTCAAGAGAGAAAACAAAACTGTATTAGTCAGTTCTTTTTATTTAGAGTTGTGTTTGAGATCTTGTTACTACTGATCCTGCCGTGGCGACACAACTTGCTGATGTTGTTCTTCCGTCTCCTCGTGCGTGGAGTGTTGTTCAGCGTCAGGTCTGTTTGTTTGTACAGCCGAACTCCTTTTTGTGACGTATGGCCGATGAAAGTAGTTGTGCGTGTCGAGGCGTCGAGAGGGAGGAAATGCGACTCTCCTCTGCCAATAATCATCGAAATGGGATAGGGTGCGCTTGACAACCTGTATTTTTGTCTCCAATCCTTCCATCATATGATTGTATTTCCAGTACTCCTGGTCCTGGAGGTCGATGGTGGTACCGATGTCAATGGGTGGCTCGGTTTCCGAGTCGAACATGCCGTGCATATCGCACAGTCGGTGGATGGTTTGGGCGGCAGCGTATGTCTTCGAGGATTGAAGGTGTACAAGAAGGGATTGGGCGTTTCGTATCGCTACAGTGCCTATCCTGCCTTCATCGGGTTGAACCGCCCAGAAGTGCGGTGGAGCAACGTCATGAAGATAGTTGTGAGTCGGTCGCTGGGGCGTTGTAGTGCTGTTCCTTCTGTCAGCGTATGGGTGCGCGCGTGTGGGCGACGTCCTTCGTGGCGGTGTTCTGCCGCTGTCGCTAGTAGAGCGAGGAGGGGACGGGGTATTGTCTCCTTGGGGACCAGATGAGGGAGCGTTGTCATCGTTCATGATGTGTGTGTTTTGTTGCGCTGTCGAGAAGGAGAGTTGTTGGGAGATGGTAAAGGTGTGTTGACAAAGTGTTTTACTTTTTCATTCCTCCTCCATCCTTCTCACTTGTGATCTTGTGCAAAGTTCTCACAAAGCGCATTCATCGCTACCTGATGGTCATCTGCCATTGGTTCATGCTTGAATCACGCCATCCCATAGAAAATCTTGAGAATCAACAAACGATGACATCGTCTTTTATTTTCAACATCATGTGACACTAATCGTCAGTGGAGATCTTACCTGCGGTGAGGTTTTGTCTCTGCTCAAGCATCACAATCGATGCGAGGTCGTGCTTTTGATACCCTTGAGTATAAGCGGTAGTGGTTCCAGTGTTTTCAGACTGGAGTGGTGCCAGTAGTGAGACGGTGCTCTGTCAGCTGCATGGCTGACCTTCCATACGGTGATGGGTGTGCATTCATTCCTTTCGTGTCTTTTTTTTTTTTTTTTTTTTTTTTTTTTTTTTAGAAAAGTGAATGCGTGTAGGGGTGTGTGAAGTGGGGAAGATCCCTATTGTGAATTCGTTAAGAAAAATGGAGAATAATAACCGGGGTTGTGATAGTAAAGGTTATGATGGGAATAGGAATAACGAAACAAAGAGAGGGATCTGTTTAATTCAGGGACGAAGAGTCCTTATGTACTCTTCGTCCTAATGATACACGTGATTATAGCACAGGCGCATATATTACGCAGACCTCTGACGATACCCTTTACGTAGAGTCCTTTACCAACCCTACCGTTGGCTACGACATCAAGATCGACTTCTCCAAAACACCCACTGGCCACATCACTAGATGCACCTGTGAGTATTTCCAAAACCACAGAAGCTGCTGCAAGCACATTGCTCTAGTACAGGTAGAGATACCTTCCATCAGTCTCTTTCGCGCTGATTTCTGGGAACACCAAGCGAATTTCCACCCTGGAATGCTAAAGCCGGACATGCAGGGTTACCCAGCCTATGACGCTCCGGAGGTGAATCAAATTAGCTTTGCCATTCAGCGCCTTGGGATCCTGGAGGAACTGTGGGACAAGAATGTAGAATATCCTCAGCAGATACTAGTTCAAACGAAACTGCAAGAGGCATTGGATTTGTTTGAAGCTTCGTTTCCTCGATTCCCAGGTCAAGCACTCAATAACAAGCGGCCGCGACAGCAATAAATATATGTTTTATATCACTCATATCATTTGCTTTACTCTCTCTCTCTCTCTCTCTCTCTCTCTCTCTCTCTTTCTTTCTTTCTTTTTCTATTCTCTTCACTTATTACACATATAAAGCGAGTGTTATCAAATAGATGAAGGATAACTATGACTAACTTAGAATACAGAATCAAATCCTTTAAGCGCACTCACCTACTTTTTCACTATTTAATGCTTCTCAAAACATTCATTCTTCTTTTCAATGACTCTATACTAATTCCTCGAACCTTAGCTACCATTCAGATAGAAAGTCAAGCGAAATAAACCGACTAAGAGAGTAGAATTAGGGGTTTGTCCACTTCTATGAATTTTTTAAAGGCCTTAGAGGTTTACTTTCGCCATTTTCTCGGTCATTTCTCAACCAATCTCTTTATAAAAAGTACCAGCTAGTTCTAGAGATCGAATACTAAAAATCCATATTAATAGGCAAGAGTTACAAATGACTTTTTCAAGGCCGAAAAAAAGAAAGTATGAAAAACGACAACATTGATTTTTAATTGTTGTCAAAGCACCTTTTCACGCGTCTCTACCTCATCTTTTCGTGATTTCGAGTACCAAGAACATTTTTTTCTTTTAAAAACTACATGGTCTAATTCGCAAGAGGCGTGTTAACAATAAACTATTAGTAGGCATTGACGATAAACGTCTTCCTACGGTACTTTCATAAAGGCATGGTACCCAGAGTGATAGATCAACCCCCCTACCGACTTATACATTTCCGTCTATGCAGTCGCTAAATGTGATTGGCTCAAAGAGGAAACAGTGACATATCTAACCTTTAGGTCACATGCCGGAAGATTGAATTGATTTAATCGTATGGCCTGTGTAGTAGAATTAAGGACACTCCACTTTTGGGCAACTGCACGTGACCCTTGAGAATGTCAACTCGACCAAAAAATAAACAAAAATGGTCATTAGGTCACTTTTGAAAAAAAAAAAAAAAAAAGCACACCGAAAGTGAAATCGAAGCTGCCCTTTTTCGGTATATCGAACACGTCCTAGAAAAGTCTTCAGAGGACACAGCCAAACTTGTTTTGGGCGTTGAAGAGCTCGCCTATAGAGCGTTCACCAAGAAAGGACAGGTAACAAACGTGCGCTTGCTGCTTGTTTTCTTATGTCTGAAGCGCATACAAGAAAACCTTGCCGACCAACCGCAAGATGACTATCATGGAGGCGGTCACGCATTGCTACTACTACATGGAGAGATTTGAGGTTGACGATGAACTTGTATCGAGAGGGTACTCTCTTAGCTATGGCAGCAAAGATAAACCAATCCCCAAGTGTGTTGATCCCAAGTACTACAACAATGGCGAGCCAAACCTACGGTCTATCCCCAACAAGCCTGAACGCTCCTCTTTGTCCTCTGGTCAAGACAACTATCCGCCCACCCCTTTTTCTCATGATGAGATATTTTCCTCACAAGCCCAGCCTTATTCGCCCTCCTTTCAAGACCTAGACGATCTCGCTTTTTCGTCATTTTCTCAAGATAAATCCTCTATCGCTCAGTCGTCTTCGTCAATCTCCCCGGTTAAGTCGTCCTCGCCCACCTCCCTGGTCCAGTCTTCCTCTACTAATGTCCTCAATCAGGGCGCTAAAAAAAACACGCCAGAGGTGCGAACAGATTTCCGAGAGTCGACAAGTCTTACTGGGACAAACTTGGTATTCCCTGGAGTATTGAATACCGGCACGAGATGATGGTTGAGGACAAGGACGGCAACCAGACTCTCAAGTCTTTTTTGTTTTAAAGCTACCAACATATGTCCATTGGATACAACTCTTATGAGCTGGTATTTGTTGACACAGTACCGCGCAGTCTCTCTTCCAGCCAATATCTTGACTATCACCGCTGGTCAATGTCTGGAGACCGTAGTTCAGGAGATCCAAAGAGGGAACTACCACAAGACGCGTTGGATGTGGTAGACTCGCATTCTGGGGTACCCTAATGATGGTGTCCACAATATGGAGGGGAGCACATTCAGGAACTTCAACGAGCACTTAAGTGGTTTATTTTCGGTCACCAGAGAGTCAATTTACTCTTGTTCCTCACCAACCTGCCCCAATCCTGTTAAAACACACCGCAGACGGACGGCTGGGTGGCAACTCTCAACGGGATCAACCATCAACCAAGCGGCCATCAACAAATCCGTCGAGGAATCCATTAGGCCTGCAGAAAAGACAGATGGTGATATTTGCACGGAAAGGCCAGCTGATGATGTGAGTGACTCTGTCATATATAAAGATCAGGATGCATGGAGGCAGATCGAGATGGTGGACGAGGAAGGTCGCAAAACGTATTCAGTTACTTGCAGCGGAGGCAGGATCCACACTGAACCGACGTTCACTCAACTACCGACCCTTCTCTCTATTGATGCACGCTACAACGCCAACCATTGCAACGCCCCATTTTCTACGCCCGTTCTACACTTTGGCAAACAGGAGTATCAACTTGGCGTTGTTATTTACCATGGACAGTATCATTTTTGCTTGGTGGTGATGGTGGAAGGAAAACGACTTTTGTACGATGGAGCGATGAAGAGGAAGTGTCAGTTTGTTTCTGAGAACAATATGACAAGACTGCTGGCAAACAGGAACTTCTACGCAGCCGAGGCTTGGTACTTGAAGTATCCAGTAACGTCGCATGTGGGCCAGGAGTTGGAGGATCAAGCACTGTCTGCCGACAAGGAGTTCGACGAACTATCCGGTGACGAGCAGGTGAGGTCATGGTCCCCACCTCTGCTTGCACCCAATACGCCTGCACCACCCAAGATCACAAACATGCCTATGCCCAAGGACACGAACACGCCTGCACCCGTAACGTTGTTGGACGATGAAGATCAAGATCTACCAGATGTGCATGAGTTATTGCATAAACGTCGCCTCTCAGACGACTCGACAGGTCCTTCGCCTATGGATCCTGTCAAGAAAGCAGACCAAGCAATAGAATGAAGTAGATAAAGAGAACCTTGATCAAGGACTAAGAAATGAGTATAAGGAATAGGTTAAAGAGTATGTTGTATTGGCGATACCAAGTAAAGAGCTATAGATTTGCTATCTAAGGCCCTTTTATACTCGTTAGGGCGAAGTCACAAGAGCAAGCTCTTGTCTCGTGACAACCTCCCCCTCTAGGGCCGAGTTCCAAGAGGCCTTTGGCTGGGTTTGTGAGGGTGTTGCAGATGGAACTCGCGAACAAGGTCCGGGGAATTCTTGACACAGGCGGCCGGTTCCCAGGTTCGTTCGGATACGGGGTAGCCTCTCCAATGTATATAGTATTCAAGGTGGTTGCGCCTGATCCGTGAATCCAAAATGGCCTCAACCTCGTACTCCTCATCGCCGGAGACGACAAGCGGAGGAGGTCGTTTTGAGGCTCGACCGGGGATCGTATCTGGATGCGCACGCTCAAGTAAGTTTACATGAAAGACAGGATGTAGCTTGGTCGTTGGTGGTAAATCGAGACGGAAGGATCGAGTGCCGATTTTTTCGAGAATACGGTAAGGGCCCATGCGCTTATGGTCGAGCTTCTTGCATGGTCTGTTCGTTTGGAGGTTCCGGGCGTCTAGCCATACAAGATCTCCTACTTGCAGATTGGGTTGTGGTTGGGCCTTGGTGTCGAAGTTCCTGGCATGCTGTTCAATGGCGGTGTGGATATTGAGTTGCATCTCCGCATAGAGGTTCTTTAGGGCCTGGACGCGTTCTTGGGCTGGGACATTGTCCTTCGAGACTCTTGGGATGGTGATGGTAAATTTCGGATGGTAGCCGAGGTTGGCAAAGAATGGTGTTGTTTTTGTTGTTGAGTGTGTTGCGTTGTTGTATGCAAATTCTGCTATCGGTAGAAGGGTGCTCCAGTCCGTTTGCTGATAGTCGATATACCCTCGTAGGTACTGTTCCAGTATTGAATTTACTCTCTCGGTCTGTCCATCGGTGCGTTGGTGGTAGGCGGTAGAAAGCTTCTGATTGATCCCCAGAGACTTGAACATGGTGGAAACGAAGGCTGAAGTGAAGGTGGCGCCTCTGTCAGAAACAATGTCATCCGGGAGACCGTGGGCTGAAAATACGCGTTCTAGGAACAAACAGACCGTATCCTGTGCATTGATGTTGTCGTAGGTGGGGACAAAGTGTGCCATCTTGGTGAATCGGTCCACAAAAACACAGATTGCCGTATAGCCGTTTGAGGGGGGGAGTTGGGTGATGAAATCCATCGATACTGAGGTCCAGGGGCGATCTGGTACAGGCAGGGGTTGTAAAAGTCCATAAGGCTTGTGAGTGGATGACTTTGTCCGTTGGCAGGTGTCACAACCGTTGATGTAATCCTTGATGTAACGCCACATGGAAGGCCAGTAAAAGGTTCGACTGACAAGGTCTGAGGTCTTGGTAATTCCAAAATGACCGGCGGTTGGGGCGTCGTGACATTCTTGAAGGATTTGTTTCTTGAGTTCGGGATCGTCGGGGACGCAGACAAGGCCATCCCGCAGGAGTAGCCCATCTTGAATTGAGTACTGGGCATTGTCCGAGTTCGACTTTGCGGTCTTGGCGAGTATTGGACCAAAGTATAGATCATCGGGGATTAGTGTCTTGATTTTTTCCTGGATCGCTGGCGTCTCTGGTTGCAGTGACCGGGCCTGGATGGTGTTCAGAATCTGGATCGGCGGTAGGAGGGTCATCTCGGTCTTGCCGTGCTGGGCCGCACCTCCCTCTCCAGGGTTGTCCCGCCGGGACAAAGCATCGGCAGCGGCATTCTGGGAGCCAGGGCGGTAATGGATGGTAAAGTTGTAGTCAGACAAGATTTCAGACCAGCGGACTTGACGGCGGCTCAATTGGCGCGTGGTGGTAAAGTACTCAAGATTTCTGTGGTCGGTGATGACTTCCGTGGTAGCGGGCGAGAATTCCAGGTAGTGTCGCCAATGTTTAAAGGCAGACACAATGGCAAGGAGTTCTTTGTCGTAGATCTGATAGTTGAGTTCAGCAGGCAATAGTTTTCGGGAGTAGTAAGCGATAGGATGTAGGCGTCCATATTGGTCACGCTGACTGCAGACAGCGCCGAGGGCCTTGTCAGAAGCGTCAGTTTCAATGATGCAGGGGCGATCTGGTTGGAAATGCCGAAGGACGGGGCCAGACATGAAGCGTGACTTGAGCTCCGTGAAAGCGGCTTGTGCGATAGCGGTCCAGACAAAGTTAGTATTTTTCTTGAGTAACGCGGTGAGAGGCGCGGCGATATGGGAGTATTTCCGTACAAAACGACGGTAGAAGTTGGAGAAACCCAGAAAGCACTGGACATCCGAAACGGAAGAGGGAGTGGGCCAATCGCGAATGGCGGCAACCTTGGCGGGGTCCATAGAAATACCGTCAGTTCCGATCACAAAGCCGAGGAATTCGACTTTGTCCTTGTCGAACGAGCATTTCTCGAGTTTTAAGCATAGACCAGCGTCTTGGAGCTTGCTGAGAACTTTGCGGACATGCGCGGTATGTTCCTCAAGGGTGTCGGAGTAGATGAGAATGTCGTCAATGTATAGCACGACAAAGTCATCTAGGTAATCGCGGAGGACGTCGTTGGCGAAAGCTTGGAAAGTTCCGGGAGCGTTCATTAGTCCGAAGGGCATGACTGTATACTCGAAGTGGCCATAGCGGCAGCGGAATGCAGTCTTCCATTCGTCGCCCTCCTTGATGCGGAGAAGATTGTATGCTCCTCGCATGTCGAGCTTGGTGAAATACTTGGCTTTGCCTAGTCGGTCGAAAGTTTCGGAGATCAGTGGCAGAGGGCATCGATTGGGGACAGTCACCTTGTTGAGGCCTCGATAGTCGACACAGAGGCGGAGAGAACCGTCTTTCTTTTTAACAAAAAGGACGGGGGCGCCAGCTGGAGACTCGGATCGACGGATGAACCCTTTTGCAAGGTTTTCTTGAATATATTCGCGTAGAACTTGCAGTTCCGTTTGTGATAGGTTGTACACTGGTCCAAATGGCACGGTGGCTCCTTCGACCACAGGGATATTGTGATCATAGGGTCGATGTGGCGGTAGCTTGTCGGCTTGCATCTTGGAGAATACCTGAGCATATTCGGCATATTTCTCGGGCAGTTGGACTGTGGGTTTTGATTCAGGGATAGAGTTGTCGTTGGTGGTTGCGCTGGCGAGTTCTTCGATTCGGGAGACGTCGAGCATGTATCCGACTCCTTGATTGGTCTTGAGGATCTGACGGAGTTGTGTATTGCTAATAATGGAGATGTTGGTTGCTGATCGGTTCTTGGCGGATTTGGATAGTTGGTTGGATCCTGAGGTGTACTTGGTGGGAACCAAAGTGGATTTGGGTTTGGAAGGTGGCAGAAGGATTCGGTCTTGTTCCTGGAAGGAAGGGATGGATCGAGGCATTGTTGATTGTGCAAGAGGGGAAAGCTTGTCGAGTGTGTGCTGATGGAGGCATGGCATAGTAATGGTTCGTTTCTCCCAGTCGATATATGGGTTGTGTGAGCGGAGCCAGTCCATGCCAAGAATAATGGCATAATTGCCAAGTGCAATGAGTTGAAAAGTGTGTGTGGAAAAGTGTTGTGAGTGGGATTGCATAACCAATGTGGTGGCGTGATGAGAGGTATGTGTTGAACCATTGGCAAGAGAGATTTGTAATAAGTGTTGTGCTAGTGGAAGATTGTGCTGTTGTGCTAGATTTTGATGAATGAATGAGATGGTTGCTCCTGAGTCGATCATTGCATGGACTGGTAGTGAGGAGTTTTGGAAGTGAAGAGTAATTGGAATAGTAATAGGGGATAGCAGAGGATCATTTGGAGATTTGTTATACAGCTCGCCCAGACACACTCCAACTTTACTGTCTAGGCTGAATCTTTTTCCAATTGGAAAGAGATTGCATCGGGCTGGTCGCTAGTCTGTGTAGGCTGAAGGGCCGAGATCGAGGCTGTTGCCTTTGGGGCGTTCTTGAACGAGGGCTTTGCAGGTTTCTTGGGGCAGTCGTCAAGCCAATGATCTGCTGAACCACAGTAGGTGCACAGTCCTTCTTTTTGACGACGAAGACGCTCAGACGGTGGCAAAGGACCATGGCGAGCATGCGAGAGATCCATGTCCATCGAAGTGGTCGCGGGAGCTGAGGTAGCAGGGGTGGACGCGGTAGTTGGGGTGGATGAGGCTTGAGTGGTAGTAGAAGTGTGGGCAGTGGTGGAACGGGACGGAGTGCTGGAAGATTTGTTGCCGGAACGGGTCACTGCATAGCCGTACTGTCGGTTGTCGATGTCGATAGCCAATTGTGAAAACTCGGCAAAGGTAGGTGGCTCGGGGTAGTTTGCCATGGCTTCTTGAACAGACTCCTTCAGGCCGAGGCGGAACTGTGAAATCATTGCGCTATCATTCCATGCTGTATCCGCTGCAAGGTTGACGAAACGGTTTGTATAGTCGATGGCAGAACCGCGCTGTCTAAGTTGACGGAGTTGGGTTTCTGCTAGGACGTGAGCATTGGAGACTCCAAAGTTCTTACTCATAAGAGCAAAGAACTGATCCAGGTTAGAAATACATGCGGGTCTCTCCTCGACAGGCAACTTGAAGGACGGAACGTATCTCTGCATGTACTTGAACGCTGCAGTATCACCGAGGCGCGAGATAGCCAGCACAATGCGGTCGTGGTCGTTCGGATAGAGGGTCTCGTTTGCAACGAAGAAGAGTTCCAGCTGAGCCTGAAACCCTTTCCAATCTTCACGCTTGCCGGAGAAGACTGCGGGGGGTGCTACTTTTGGCCTCGAAGGGGAGCTATTGCTGGAGTGAGGTGTAGTTGATTGGAAGATGGCACTCACTGTGTTGGTGACATCGGTCTTGTGATCATAAAATAGTTTGCCTAGTTCTGCGCGAGTGATGGGTGGTAATTGTGACGTCATCTTCTGGACGTTGGATTCGAGGCTGAGTAATCGAGGGTTGAGGTTGACGGTCAGGCTTGTGAAGAAATCTTCGTTCGAAAGAATGAAGTCCAGCATATCACGGTACTTCTGAACAGTCTCCTCGAGTTCGGTGACTTTGGCTTGCAAGGGAGTGACCGTCTGAACTATTTGTTCAAGTGTGGCTACTCGGTCCATCAGTGCTTGGAAGCGCGCGTTGGCTGTAAGGATCTCACTATCGGGTAGCATTGTAGTTGATACGGAAAGTGAAGAGTTGTTGTAGTTTCTGAGGGTTGTGGGTTGTGTACGGAAGATGGTAGTAAAAGAGGAAAGAACTTGAAGAAGATAGGGTTTGGTTTTGTTGTGGAAAAGGCTTTTTTTTTTTTTTTTTTTTTTTTTTTGAGCGCTGAAGTATATCAATAGAAAACAGACAAAGTTTGATCCAAGGTTCTTTAGGTGTATGACTTGGTATTGTCAAGAAAGCAGACCAAGCAATAGAATGAAGTAGATAAAGAGAACCTTGATCAAGGACTAAGAAATGAGTATAAGGAATAGGTTAAAGAGTATGTTGTATTGGCGATACCAAGTAAAGAGCTATAGATTTGCTATCTAAGGCCCTTTTATACTCGTTAGGGCGAAGTCACAAGAGCAAGCTCTTGTCTCGTGACAGATCCGACCAAGCAATCCTCGCCCTTACAGCCACCAGCCACTCCCCCACGAAAGAAGCCTCATTATGAAATAGGATTCTCCAAGTGTCTTGTTGCAGCAATGGATCCGTTACCACAGTGTGCAGGGTGCCATACCCCGATTTTGCGAACTCTTCACAGAACAAGAATGGTTCACAAGTATGTCATCAGGCAGTCTTGGATGGCAGGCGGGATGCGTAGCAGTACACGGTCGTACCATTATCAACGCTCTTGTATTGAGCGAGCGGTTCAGCAAGGGGATCCGGATGATGCAAGGTCTGTCTTCGCTAAAGACGCAGAGGTGACAGATAATTCGATTTTGTAGAGTTGGAAGAAACTGTGGATTGGTAAAAATAAAAAAATGACAAAAGTGACCTTTTCGTTTCAGGCACATCGGAGTTGAAAAATAAGGTCACGTGCAGTTGCCCAAAAGTGACATTTTCAAAAGGTCACTTTCCCTCTGGGTCACTTATTTCTTATTCACCTACTTTTGAGAAAGAAATGTGTAGGGGGCAGCGGCAAGACTCTGAATTTGAGGGAAGACTTTGTGCTGTAGAAGAGAGAGGAGCCCTCAACTCCTTGAGTGTAAGATGATAAGATCATGCGCCAAGCCAAACCAAACGCTCTCCTAGGACTCGAACCCAGGACCTCAAGATTGTGAGAGGGACGCTACCAAGTAAAGAGCTATATATTTACTATCTAAGGCCCTTTTATATTTGTTAGGGCGAAGTCACAAGAGCAAGCTCTTGTCTCGTGACAGGCTCTAAGTTTGTCAATCTGACTATTCATCATCTCATAGCTACATTGAAAGTCGAGCACAGACTGGCCACACCCTACCATCCAAGAGCAAATGGAGTAGCTGAACGGAACGTTCGTATACTCAAATTGCAGCTGACAAAATCGGTGTTGATTGAAGAATCATTATGTGATGATCATCTTCCAATGGTTCAACTGCAAATGAATAATTGTGTAGCAACCCTTCATATTTCTACTCCCTTTTCCCTGTTCTACGGACGCCTCTTCCTTGATGTGTACGATTTTCAGACAACTGAGTCGCGCCCACTAACGGCGGAGCAAATGGACAAACGATTGGAATATTTGACTGTACTGGTCTACCCAGCCATCTCTGAGAAGTCCAAGGCCACTCAGAAGGAAATGATCAAAGTCTTTAACAAGACTCAACGCCTAACTGAATTCACGATGAAGAAGTGGAAACTGCATTAGATCCAAATTATGACGATCCTTTCAAGGTAGTTGTCGCGTGCTGCAATACGATCGGTCGACTCTTGGCACGATCGGTCGACCCTTGGGAGCAGTTGGCTGCGCCCAAGATAATTAATTAGCATTGCTCTCGAAAAGCACATATATATCCCATAGCACCCCAATTATTTCTTTACTTAGTAACTTGGATAACAACTTCCATACCTATTGAACCTACACTCCTTGTACACTGTCACATCCTGCCTTTGTCTTGTCTCTGTCCCGCCCCAAATACATACCCTAAAACACCTTATCTTGCCCTTTGTCCTGCCCTTGCCCTGCCTTGCCTTTGTGTTCGCCTTGTAACAACCGAAAGGTAAAATCCCGTCCGCCCTGCCTGCCCAGTCTAGGTTCGCGACAGTAGTGGATGTATATCCAAAGGAACGTATATTTTGCATCTCAATATGAGTATATTAATAGCCCTTAACTGCGCACCTGAGCAACCGAAAGCCGTCTTACAATCGAGTGATGCTCTTACCATAGAATGCCTTTCAACTCCAAATTATAATATGGTTTTTGTTACATCTCTGCAGATCTCGTTGATATCCACCGCGACCATTAGATGAGAGTGTATGTACGATATCAACCCTGTAAAACAACAACTGTAACATTCCTTGCGTGATTATCCCATTAAACACCATCGCATTCTCCAAGCATACAAACAAAGTCTTCTCATTTTTCGTACACCAATCCCTTGAATGTGTCCATCTACTATTAAACTGTACCCCTCACTGCAAGGTTCGGCGGAGTAGTTCTTGTATGTGATCATCTATGGTAAATTTACTTGTACTTTCAGCTGTATCTTTGAGTGAAATACAAGGGAGAGACTACATTTTAAAAATTCGTGTGTTGACTGTTGCTATTTTATCCTATGTCCTGTTGCCGACACTGCATTCCTTGGGCTTTGGAAAAAAAATTCATGCTTTTTTATATCCTTTGCCCATGGAAAGGCCGCAAACAAGCTGAGCATTAAGTGGCTGAAGCGACCTTGAGTCACCGCCTCGACAAAGAGGGGGGTAAGGCACTGTACATCGTAAAGTGGAAAGGTTTTGACGAATCGGAGAACTGAAAGATCCCATATGAGAACTTCGATTCCAAGAAAACCCTTCTCTCTACTATGATCGGATCCAGAAAAATAATCCTCACGTACTTGCAACACATGAGAGGAGACAGGAAACAGACAATGAAAGTTGAACAGAGTTATGCAAAAGCAAACACCTTCTCCTCCTGTTCAAACAAGGTAAAGGGTAGCTCCGTAAAACCAACTGAACAAGAACTAGCAATGGCATCCAACTGATGTTTTTGTTCGCGTGCACTATATGCATGACGTTTTTACATACAACACCTATGCTTGGGCCAAGCTCCAATGAGGTTTGATTTTTGCCTTCCATCTCATCTCTGTAGGGTTTTTATTTTTCATCTTGCATCCCTGTCACCCTATGGGGTTAATATTCCCCATTTACACTGTGCTTGAAGAAACTTTACCCTCTTCAAAGAAGGTTATTTTTCCTCTTCTACCTCGCTTTGCAACTGCAAGGTTTAGTTTTTTGCCCTTGCAACACTCATTTTGCTCTTCACTTTGCCAAAATCTCGCGGGGAGCTCTGTTAAGGTTAGGTGCTGCAATTAAGCAGCAGCCATTTTTAATTGACGAGCTGCGAATCAAATGTGATTTCACTGGATCATTAAAAGGATCCTGTCTTAAATCACTTTAATTTTCCGTCTCCATTGTCCCCTGTGCTTTTCAGAGCAGCGACGGTTGTTGTGCAGAGCCAAGTTCCGGGCCGGGATGTTGCACTGCAGAGGTTGGTCTGCACTCCTTTTACCTCCAAATGCCTTTTCTGCGCTGTTTGTCTGAAAAATAAAATGAGTACTAAAAATTAAAAAAGCTGACCTTACCGAGGAGGATAACGAATATGTCTGGAACTGTTCATTGGCAGCTGAGATCACCACTGCGATCTGGAAGGATGCTATGGGCAGTATTGACGAGTGGGGTTGCAGGCGACAAACGGGTACAGTACAATGCAGCCAGGAGCCGGCAACACAAGTACGCGGTTGACAAAGGTCGTCAACCGCCGAGACCAGTACCAATACACTGGCGACCCCCCTCAGATGCGGATCATGTACGAGGATTTCCTCTATTGGTGGAGCTCGAGCCGTGCACAGCGGTAGTCCTGCTCCCGATCGCGACGAGAACCCTAAGTGGAACGTGCCGGATCTCCTTCGCAGCATCATCCCCAAGAGCATGTTGACTGAATGGTCCGCGGTCTTCCGGACCCCAATGTCCATCGCCAAGACGGTCTTACGCAAGTTTGTTGGCTACCTGGAGACGCAGGCCTCGGAGCTAATTCGGAAGTCCCCGTGCTCCGCAACGATCGCGTGTGAGCAGACCAGGACATCTCTGCCAAGGACAAGACATCACCTGTACTGTTTTCTGTCCGTGTGGCGCTTCGCTAGCCATACACGAGAATGGGACCTGCCCTGGAGCGACCAAGGGCCCATGCGCTGCTGACGAGCGGCTGTTGGAGAGGTTGTTGGGAGGGAGAGGTTGTCAGTGATGGAGAAGATGAAAGAATCCCCTTTATTTCGTACCTAGTTGTATTTTGTCTTCCGTTTAAGCTGTGAAGAGCAGCGACAATTGTTGTGCAGAGCAAGGTTGGGGCTGGAGAGTGACAGGAAGTTGGCACTTAGGAGAGTGTGCTATGATGTCCACCGTTTTAATCAAGGCTATGGCTGCGTATGTACGGTCTTTGATCCCGCTGTTACTAAACTGAGTGTCCTGTAGACCGCAGTTTGGAAGCAACCATCTCACGCATCTCATTGATGATTTTGTTGTCCTTCTTGATTTTTTCCTCTTGGTTGAAAATAAGAAGCGCTCGCTTCTCTTCAGCGCTGATGACCTGGTTCTCCTTTCTTACACGAACAGCGTTCATGCGTTGGTGACTAGGATGGAATGGAAGAACGATGAAAATTGTTAGTAAGTTACACACCAAAACAACAATACATTCACACGCACCAATAATGGGACCAACTGCCAATTGCCAATGTCGACATACCGACTACCGCTCATAACATATCCAGAGTGCTCATAGCGCTCGATCTGATCACTCTCCAGGCCAATCTCTCCACGACGAGGGATACGTTTGCCATCCTGGACGTAGGCAGCCATTGCCGAACCTTCACCGGCCAAGAGAGCACCACCATAACTGCGCTCGTTCAACATGTGGTCATTCAGGTGCAAGGGCGTTGGTCCAACATCCTGGTCATCCTCTGGCATCTCCACCTTTTTCTCCACCCACATATCGTCCGGGAACTCCATGCCATCATCGTCCTGATCGGGTTGGTTTTGAACAACGCTTGTGGCGCCACGAGGCGCAATTGCCAAACTGTCGTCCAGTGCGACCTTCTCGTCATGATAACTCTTTGCCCCATCTCTTGACTCGTCTTCGCTCGCGCTGAATGGGGTTGGGCTGCGTTGGGTTCTCTTGGAAGATCGTTTGGTACTCTTATGACGGGAGCTCCTATGGCGAGAGGATGATCGTTTGTCCTTTCGTCTCTTTGATGACTTGCGATGCCGCTTCCTGCCTTCATCTGACCGATCCGACTCCGAACCTGAATCTAAATAGGCAACCAGTCGCCAGGTTATCATTAGTACTTAATTATGCTACAATCCACAGCAACACACCCTATGGGACAAGGATATACAGTCCGAGATTACTTACCATGCTTCTTGGACTTTTCCGATTTTTTCTTAACCTCCTTGTCGGGTGACGGCGATCTGTTACGAAGTTCCTCTGCAGATGGTGAGGGTGCCCAAATAGAGAATTTGATTCCGGCACGCATATCCCGACGACTAGTATGAGTTTGTAAACGATACAGTTAGTGCCGTCGCATACTAAGGTGGTGGCAGATGACACGGGATTGTTACGTTGGCAGCTACAACAAGACTTACTTATCAGAATACTCCTTCATAGCTTCCAGCGGCCTACGTCCACCTCTATAACTCTCCTCGTTTCGCTGATTGTCTCCATTACGTTGATCTGTGTATGGCCCTCCACGTGTGTCGGGATCATCCCTTGCTCCTCCACGCTGGTCGTACTCTCTAAAATTATCGCCCCTGCGACCTCTGTCATTGCCGTCGTAGCGGCCCCTGTCCTCACGACGGTAACTCCGATTGGTGTCATCCCTTCTCGCAGGTCTGTAGCTTTCGTATGAAGGACTGGGTCCCCTATTGTTTTCTCCTCGGCGTTGATACCTGCTTGGCGAATCATCATGTAATGGTCGTCGATTCACCTCTCGTGGTGGAGATCGGATTCGAGAAGGTCGAGGTTCGGGTGAACGTGAATTGCTCGAGGCTCCTCTGTAGGGACTCTTGCTTCTGCTCCTGCCTCTTCGAGGGTCCTCCTGTCGACGATGATCACGAGCGTGGTCCCTGATGGAACGGTGGCGCGGTGATGGACTCTTGCTAAGGTGGCGGATGGTGCGATTGGTGTCTCTCTCTGGGCTTAAACTTTGGCTTTGGTTGCGGGATGGTCGGCTCCTGATGGCAGTGATTGTGTGTCTGATATCACTGGTGTCAGCATCGGGCGAAAGCGAGCGCCTGTGATCTGAATCTGAGAACGGCATTGAAGTTTGTGCTTACAAGGAATAGTGTGAAGACAAGCGTGCTTGTCAGTATTTGTCAAGTCAGTGTTTGTCAAGTTGGTGGAAAGAAAAAAGTCGCTTAAGGAGCAGAAAAGTGCGAGTTTAATTATTTGAGATTTTGTCGAAGAGACTCGAGGGCCAGCACAACAGGGTGGCGCCGGAAACCGCGGGCTACCGTGAGACAATGCGCCACCGTCATCTGTTTCTGATCCCTTGTCCAGTCTGACCCCTCAACCTTCCACACCATTTCCATCACCATAGTCTCGTTGTAACCTAGCGGACACATCAAATTTCGAAGGCAGGAACGGTTAGTTACTTGCTCTCTCTATCACGCATCTATTATGCCAATAAACGAGAACAACAGAACAGCGGCTTACTCCTGGGTTCCATCTTGAGCTCCTTGATGATGGCATTCCTATAGTCCAGAGGGGACTCGCCAGTGACACGATATTCGGTGTCTTGCGAGGACGACAACAATGAGGTGGACCTATTGTGGTCGGCCATCTCTGACGACATACCGGCTCTTGACACGCCAAGGATTTTTGGTATTGATAATCCTGACAATGCGCTTTCGGCACTGACCTCCGAAGATACCGAAAACGATACGCTTTCTTTGGGACGTGCGTCATCTGGGCCGTCCGTTACCAATGCTGTGATGGAAGGGGTCTGGTGCTCTCCATTTGCAGGCGATGATAGGATGGGAATGGGCGTCAGGCCTTGCACCACGGTCGCCTCCGGTCCGATCCTGCCAGTCGGTATTGTCGATTCATCCCCGTCTCGACTCGACGGCTTGACATCAGTCGAAACACCATTTGGAGGATATGGTGCTCCTGGATCTGACCGCTCAGGGATCGTCGACGGTATGGACTGGAGCTCCATGAGAGCCGTTGGATCGTACACAAGACTTGGGAAGACTGGTTTGGTCAATCCATTGAAGTGCTCCAAGTCGTGCTCGATACCCTGTTGATGTTTCATGTATTCGTCCGTCTTCATGTCCGCGGAGCCGTCGTTCTGGAGAAACGGTAGCTCGGCTTTCCTCCGCTCAATATCGTCAAGATCGACAACTGCAAGAGGTGGTGGGATCAAATCCTGGGCGCGCTGCATATCTTCCATGGATTCGTCGTCGTCATCCAAACCGATACCACCGGGCATAGGGGTATCAGCTCGCAGACGAGCTGCTTCATCTTCGCCGTCCATTTCCATCTCGTCCGAGTTGAACATTGCCCGCCTAAAATCTTCATCATCCTCAGCTTCGTCCTCACCATCATGCATTCCTGGACGACGCGAAAGAGCATCAGGCTCTTCCTCGGTGGATAGTATCTTGCCAAAGCTCTCCTGGACAACAATTCTCAGCGTGGGAATGCCAGGCACTCCGGCGCTTGCTCCCAGTGACACCACTTGCACCTTGCCTGATACGGACCTGGCACCGTGGGCGAGGCTTGGAATCTTTTCAAGCGGGAAAGGCGACGGAGATACTGAACGGCGGCGCGGTTTTCTCTTGCGGCCACCGAGAATGGAGGACCAAGAAGACCCACCAGAACTGTTGGTGGATGACATTGAGTCGTCCGCTGCGGATGCCTCGTTCTCTTCGTCAATGGACACTTTCTTGTCCTGCTTGTAGGGATTTCCGAACATGGTCTTTTGTAGAGACTTAACAGATTCTTCATCACGGAACGGATCTCTAAGGTTCTCTCGTTGAATCTTTTGCATCCGGTCCTGGTAGATTCCCATGTCGGCGATAGGAAGAGTGTGGAAATCGTCTGAATCCATCAAGAGGTCCGCCTTGGCGCCTGTTGATCGAATACCGCCGAATATTGAGACATTGCTTGGGGTAAGAGACAAGGACGTTGTGGAAGTGAGCTGTAGTTCCTTGAAGAAAGCCAGCTTAAGGTCGCCTAGGACAGATATCAACTCGGACCGTGGTACATCGAAAGCGTTGGCACAGAGAGTCCGCTTTTTTGATACGACTACCTCGGCAGGTGCTGATGAGTCAATAGCTTGCAGGCGGTCCAAATCGACTCTGGCCTACGCATACAAAGACTGGTTAGACGTCAGCGTAAATACAATGCCATTTGAAATGGTTCGGCTAGCAAGACTTCCGAACGACTGATTAAGTACCTTCAGCTTGTTGATTGAAAGTACGTTCTGAATGGCAAGTCCCAACGTCCCTTGCTCCGCAGGCATGATGTTGTAAAGTCCGATGCGTTTCAGGGCGTTCCTGAGAGGCTATTTTGTACAAAGCGGTAAGGCATAGTCAGTAGGGCAAACCAGACTTACAATGTAGGATCCTGTTGCGGGGCCATACACTTTCATACTCACATTATAGTAATAGGACGGTGTGTGGCTAAGATACTCGGCAAAGTCCCGCCGCCACTCCGTTGATGGGTTTCGATTTGTCCCCAAATTGACTACCATGAAAAAAATGAATGAATAAACAATAGCTGCGGTTAGCATTTTAGGGATTGCAATGGTTCTCAAACCAAATCATTCAATGCGTCATGTTTATTTTGTTGCTTACCGATGAGAGTGAAAAGTGCCGGGTAGTTGTAAGCAACCACTGTCAAGGTCACTGCATTCTTGGTTGTATTCGCCTTCAAGAACCCGAACGGAAATCCAAAACCCTCTGTCTTGTAGCTGTTCTTAATGTATACCTAGAAGAGAAACCATCGTAGTTAGTATACATCCTTTCATTGCGAGAGCTAGGACTTTTCAGAGAACAGCAATAACATGCAAATACATACAGGCCAGCAGGTTCCGGGGGGTCGAGTGAGAAGTTCCTGAGTCATTGGACATGGCGCCAGCACATATTTGTCGTAAGGGAATCCGTCGGGGATGTCGACGGCCTTCTCTTCTTTGGTGTGGTAGTGCAGTGTTGGTTGAGCGTTCCGTGTGGGAAGCCGTTGCGCGTTCTCCTCTGGCCAGTAGGGCTCTGGGATAGGGAAAAACCCGGAGTGTCGAGTTTGAGGATTAAGCCAGTTGGGATTGACATACACCAGCTGATGGTGATTCGCAGTATTTGGTCTCCGAAGATCGACTACAACGAAAGTATAAAGACAAGGGCCAAGAGGTTAAAATGCAGTTGAAATGGCATTAATTTCCTTACATAAAAGGACATGCTTCAACGTCGTTTACCTATTAGGTCCTCAAAATTAACGACGACACCGTAGATGTGAAGCACAGCTTGAGGCGAGTATTGTGTTGGAGGTATCTTGCTAATACCGAGCATGCAGTCCATGGCCTGAAGCATATGTCGCAATGTTCGGACGCGATAGCTTGTTCCTAAACAAATGGAGTATGTGAGCGTACGCAATAAGCATCTAATTCCTGTGGATATCACGCTCAGATTCACAATGTTTTATATTTACCTCCCATAACCGTGCTCAAGATGCTAAGCTGTGGATCGACCATCTCCGCGTTTGGTTCCAGAAATATGGTGTAGAGTCGCTGGTCCCACCGGAATGGTTCATGGTAGTAGTCGACTCCTGCGGATGTAACTCCTGGGATGTTCAGCTATAAATTCATGAAGACGAGCAGGTGGTAATATTGTTGGTTAGTCCTCTTGCCTAGTGTCCAGTCCAGATTTTCCGCTGAAAGGCTAGCTCACTTCAAGCGACCGTACCCTGTCCAGAATCCCTGCTGGGGATGATTGCCTTCCGCCGTCTGTGAACCACATTATAATTGACGGCTCAATTGTTCCAGGAAACCGACCCTACCATTGTTGTCAAAATTAGAAACACGTTAATATGATGTTATGAAGGGAGAATACCGTTTGACGAAAAATATAATCCGATGCAGTGCAGCATCCTTACATTGGCTGGTGTGTCAATATTATGATGTACACGGTACGCGCTGAGGATGTCGAAAATAGTAGAGAGTGACGATCCCGGATTTGACATGTCCTGTGCCTTGAGGATTTTGAGTTCCTTGATGAGATTTGGCAGAGGTTCCTTGAGGGACGACTACTCGAAGAAGTGTGGAGAGTACTATAAGATCAATTCCTTGCGGTTGTACTTTCTATCAAGAGCAATCTTTCTTTTTATTTACCAGATATGATCGACACCCTTACCTTGACGCACCCTGCACCCTCCTCGTACGTCACAAGCATATACTTGTCGTTGTGGCGCTCGGCGGGCTTTACTTGTGGAAGATGCTACAGAGCATGAAAGCAAACGAGGAGGAGAATAAGTATCGCATTGTAACCAAGTGTATGCGTTGACATTACGGCGTGCTACGACGATACAGTGTCGAGAGCCATGAGCGAGGCGCACGTTACCTTAACAAGGTGCTCTATCCCCGATTTGGTGCACTCCAATGCAGACATGCCGTTCGAGAACTTTTGGTTCATGGAGGCACTGGTATCGACTAAAAACACGATAATCATTACTGCTTCGACCTTCTTTGCCAAGTAGTGTAAGAGTGTGCGTGCCTGTGTGCGATAAAGTGCGGTTTGGCGTTTGCTAAGAGATGATTAAAGGGGCCTTCTTCACTGAAGGAGTTTTTTTGTGGCGAGGAATGCAAGAAAAGTGAGAAAAAGACGAAGAGGAGGAAGGAAAAAAAAAAAAAAAAAAAGGACGAAATGATGCCGCGCTTGTGCGGGTTATATCCCAATGCTGTCTTCGTTCTGAAGAGAAGGGACTGTGAGCCAGCCAGCGATGATCACAAGACGGAAGGAAAAAGGCAAGCGGAGAAGAAGGGATGGTGGCAAATGGAAAAAGAAGAAAACGACGCGAAGGGCCTTCTTTTGTACCAAGTCAAACTGCAGTCACTCCTGGGAGGTCCAAGCCACTTCTAATTGCTGGAATGAAACAGACAAGTAATCACAAGAACATGTCAACCCCAACTCCCAACCTCAAAGGAACACGCACACATTGCTGTAGGACTACGACCATGGTCACCACAACCCAGCGAGTCAACAATCGTCTCGCCAAGGCGAAGTCGCAGGCTCAAAGGGACATTCTCTACCCCCCTTCCGATTCAGACTCGGACGACGACGAACTCGAATGGGTGGGCGAGCCCCTGAACAAGGACACGCTTATCCGTCGGACCTCATCCAAGACTACCGACAGCAGCGATATTCCGTCCAGGAAGGCGACAAGAGGGTCCGGTCTCTCCAACATCCCATACTACAAAGCATTTAAGAAGGGCGACACGATATACTCAATCGGCGACATTGTCCTCCTCAGGAACGAGCAGTACTCTCAAAGGTTCGATCACCCTTATATCGCTCAAATCTTGTCGCTCTGGGAGACTGAAGATGGAGACTGTGAGGGCGACTTTCGATGGTTCCATCAGGGCGATGATATTGCCAAATTGAGGCGGTATCAGCGAACCGGCAACTTTCCAGAGTCTCTCGAGTGCGGCGAGATTGTTTATACGTTGGACGACGACAAGAATGACATCAACACTGTCATCGCAAAGGGCAAGGTCCTGAACGAAATGCAGTGGAGAGAGAAATTTGGTGAGGCAGGCACCAGTCTGGCAATCGAAGAGAGAGATATGACGTTCTTCTGTAGAGGTGTGGTGCGCAAAAGAACAGGATACCGGCCAATTGAGTGGAATGGCAATAAGGAGATGCTTGCACTAAAAGATGAGAAAGAATTGACTCGTGTGCCAACGCCGACGAAAAGTGCCAACGCCACCAAACCTGCCGGAAAAACGACATCTAGAGTTGGGAATCAAGTAGAAAGCGCGTCATCATCTCACCGCGAGAAAAGAGCTAGAGTTCAGGAGCAACACGAAGCGGAAAGGAGTGATGATGACGTGCGTGACCAGGCGTATTCGGAAAGGGTAAGTGTGGGTGGCGTGGATGTACTCTATTTGCCCGCTAGCAAGTGTGGAGCCTGCACGCAGTGAAGCCCATTAACAATTATGCCTATAATGTGCTACTTTTTAGGCCTCGGACCTGGAACAGGAGACGAGTGAGGAAGAGTCAGACGAATCAACAAAAAATTTACCCGAAAAGCGGCAACCTAAAAAAGCGGTAGTAGCCACCCCAAAAAAGCGACCGTCTAGAAATGTAGCCAAGATTCCTTCGAGATCCAAGTATGATTTGTTATAATGGATATGTAAGCAAATCCCTACAAATGGCACCTGGTTTCCTGATGTAGACTTAAATCGGCTCCTCTAGATCCCTAGTCATCAAGACGCCGACGACACAACGATCCATATCGGCTACAGCGCCGAAGACCGACTTTGAACATGCACGCAACCGTCTACATGTGAAAGCTGTCCCCGACTCTCTCCCTTGCCGAGAGGATGAGTTTTTGGAGATTCAGGAGCACCTCGAGAGCGCTATTGAGGACGGAACGGGAAGCTGCATCTGTATGTATGTTCGTCAAACAAAACGCTCGAACCATTTTAACTCAACACCACCGTCAACCGAACCATCTGACACGTTCATTTTATGTTTGACGCAATTAGATATCTCTGGAGTACCTGGAACAGGCAAAACAGCGACCGTTCTCGAAGTTATTCGTTCGTTACAGGCAAAGGCTGAGGAAGGGGTAAGACGCATGTATGCATTCAATGTTGATGGTATGTGCTACTATATGTGGCGAGTACTAACATCTCTCATGGTGGACCCACGATAGGAAATATCCCCATTTCAGTTTGTCGAGATTAATGGGATGAAAGTGACCGAACCATCATACGCTTACGTACTCTTGTGGATGGCGCTATCGGAGCAAAAGGTGACAGCTAGCCATGCGCTTCAGCTTCTGGAGAAGCAGTTTAGTACGCCTGGACCGAGGCGACTTCCATGGTAAGACCCTGGAAAGAACTATAAATGAAACTATGAAACTCAGGTTTCTTTGACTGGCGCGCTTACTTTGTCACTACACATTACTCTTTAACTAGTGTTGTACTGATGGACGAACTCGATCTGTTGGTTACTTCAAAGCAGACAGTCATGTACAATTTTTTCGAGTGGCCAAATTGGCTTCACTCTAGACTCATTGTTGTGGCCGTCGCAAACACTATGGATCTACCAGAGCGCATGCTCTCTAACAAGGTCTCCAGTCGTCTAGGTAATCGTAACGACTAACGACCTTTCATCCAGGCAATGCTATGTGGTGTGAATGATGGACCACTTCTAACATGTTGAGTTGACCTGTTCTAGGTTTGACAAGAATTAATTTCCAGCCATACTCATATCAACAACTGGTTAAGATTGTCGAGTCGAGACTTGAAGGCATCCAGGCGTTCAGGAGAGAGGCTATTGAGTTTGCAGCGCGAAAGGTCGGTGCTGTCTCTGGTGATGCTCGTCGAGCCCTTGACATCTGCAGGTATGAATCCATTCCCCGGCGCACGAGTTGGGAGATATTACATCGGTAGCATGAAGTTTATTTTATAGCGGCTCATCATCACTTTCCATCTCAAATAACAATTGACTAGGCGTGCGGTCGAGATTGTGGAGACCAATGCTCAAAAGGCCGAGGATCAGCGGAGGTTGAAGGCTGGGAGGAATCCGTTCGAGGACTTGGGACCAGCTCCGGATCCAGAACAGGTGACCATCCGGACGGTGGACCAGGCTATCAAGGAAATGTTTGCCTCTCCCAATGTGCGTTTGATTCAGACGGCGTCGTTGCACCAGAAACTTTTCTTGGTGGCGCTCACGGCAAGACTGAGACGCCTGGGTCTCGCAGAGGTGGAGTTCTCCGAGATTGCCCATGCGCACCTGCAGATGTGTCGTCTGCATAATATTGAGCCGCCAATGTTAAGCGATCTTTCTGCCATCTGTGCCAGTCTCGGATCGTCCAGGTGCCTGCTGGTTGAATCGGGGAAACAAGATCTGCACCAACGCGTGAGACTTAGTGTCAGCGAAGAGGATGTCATTATGGCCCTCAAAGTCGACCCTCTCTTCCGACGACTTTTGGATACCCTTCCTTCAGCCCCTGTGACCTAGCACACTCTCGTAAATAAACTCAGAATAAGAAATGAGGTAAATTCGCCAAGACAACAGAAAGCAGAGGGAACGGGAAACAAGTGGCTGGGATCAAAGGTTCGATACGTTATCCTTCGGTCCCTTATTCGGACTCGTGCTTTTATGAGTACAGTTTGCACTCTCGGCTGTTTACCTCGTTTCGCTTCGAGCGGCGTGCTGATGGCCAAGAAGCCGAGAAGCAGGCTCTCTCGGCCCGGCTGTGTGACCGGGCTCTCGGATCCAAATGGATAGGAACAGCTTTGTGGAGTTGGCGCACTGAATCGGACTATTAACAGGCCATGGCAATTGGGAGGTCCGGGGTGGAACGGAGGAGTGAAAACAAAGCGGAACAGAGGGAACAACGGGCGAAGAGGGAGGAAAGAAGAGGTAAGAGAGAAGCAGTTGAATAATCTTCTTGGAAGTTATGCTTGACAACAACAAAACAAATAGATACAGGACCCAAACTAACCATTTACAACCAAGGCGCCGCGTTTACCTCGCAAAGGAGAAGACCCTGGCCAGGGCGCGTTTTATCGATGCCTTTTGAACGCACAGGGCGGTTGCAAGGAGGACAACCCAGTAGCAAACGGGCTATGACACCACTCTTTGTTTGCTTCGCAAAATCAATCTGATCGATCACAAGGCAGAGTCACCAACGGTGCAGGCCGTTAGATACATCATCGATAATTTCTCTGGCGCCCTGGGTAACAACATCTTCCTATCACACCCACAACAACCATAACAATCCCAACCAACGCGCCCCCGCGTAAACTCAGAAGACTCAGCCGTTCGCAACTATAGCCTCATCGCCTATTCTCCCATCTGCTATTTCAACCAACCACACAGCGGCGGCTATTGCAACACCCTCGCAGAATATCGACATACCGCGCAGAAGCTGCTTTGTGTTCCGCCGCACCTTGAACTGCTCAGGATCCGTATCGTTGTCTCCTCCACCAGGAAGAAAACGCGAATTTATGACAACCCCGACCTCACCAGTCCTTACAATCCTTACGCCATCACTGTGGCCCTTCTTCATATCAAGAGCTCCTACGAGGAATTCAGACCGTTTGTTGCGCTCAAGGCTGTGCCCCCACCCCCGAGGACGTCAGAACATCTCAACAGGACGATTCGCCGTCCTTTGGTCAAGCCCGTCCCGCACTCCTGAGTCAAGCCGGATCGTCAAACATGGTCCAACCTCTTCCCTATGAAACGCCTCAACCAGACTGTCCTCCGGAGTCGTCCTTGGAGCCGGTCTACCACATCGCACGATATCGTGCCATCGACAGAAAAGGTGCCTGTAACACCAAGAAGGAGAGAGAACAGCTCCAGAACATCATCTAGCCCGAGCAAGGATACAAAACCTTCCAGGACATTTGATATGTGTCTGAAACTATCAGGCACCAGTGCAGTGGTGAGATATGATATGTAGGTATGGTAAATGGCGCGTATACTGACTCAACGTATTTACTGGATTGTTTTTTACATACAGCTGGAGCTACTTGCGCACTGCAGTCGAGAACAACGTTTGAGGTATCATACTCCTAATGGCTAAGAAGGCTCCTGATAGCGGAAAGAAGGGGAAGGGCAAAGGCAGAAAAAGCAAGACCAGAAAGGGGCAAAACCAAGAATCCGGATATGGACAAATCGAAGTGGGACCTCAGGAATAAGATGATGGGAGCCACAAAAATGACTAAAGGTCTACGCAAGCAGACTACTTAAGCAATCCAGAACCACTACCAGAACAACAAAGTCATATACACAGACACAGACACAGACACAGACACAGACACAGACATATATTTTTCTGCAAGCGCTCAACCCGACCAAGACCGAGCTTATGGGCCGATTCCGTACAGTGGTTGATATGGGCTGTGACAAGCTGTGGGACCCGGCGATTTTAGATGTACAGGAGGAACTGACCGGCGTCACTGGAGAACTGGCGGACCTATGGAACGGAATGTGGCCGGGGTCGGAAAGAAGCTTGTAGAGAAGCGTGATGCTTTGTCGGATTATACCCTGGAGATGTGTTCCTTGACCCTGCAGGCACTGTCCTGGTAATGGTCAAACATGTCGAGTACTCATGAGGTTTATGAGACTATACACTCGATATTAGAGCATTCTGACATATCATGTGTTTGTGCGTCATTTTTGTAGATCATACAAGGAATTCTGCACGACGAGAGTCGAGCCTTTGAGATTGCCAGGATCCTTCGGGGGACTTTCAGGCTCGAGACACCAACATGCCACAGAACGACAGCGTAATGGGCATCAAGGCTAGGGTTATCACCTCCGAGACCCAAGAGCGCTTCAAGAATCCAACGAAGTATGGAACAAATCGGATGAAGATTGTTTGCTCGACCAGTACCATCTTTCAAACATATCCGCCAACATACTCGGGACAAAGTCCGAGGCCTACAATCTCAAGCACCTGCCACGCAAGCGGGGCAAAGGTACGACTCCGAAAGATGGCGACGACTCAATCGGGCATCTAGGATGAAGGACAATCCTCTCAGCAATGGAGAGCACCCTCGGTATGGACCACCTCGGCAGGTCCCCCGCTGCCACTTCGACAGAAACGACCACACGCACCCGATTCTGATAAGGTTCCTGTGAATCGACTGACGTTGTGGAGGATGCTGCAGAAGTATTGGTTATGGACATAAATTGGGATTACATCACATCCGGAGGCCAACCCGACTGCAGTCATTGGGATGGCAATGTTGGATACGGCGCTGAGGAGGGCGACACTGATGGTTCGTACTCTAATCGATCTGAGATGTTTCAGAACTACTGATGATTCCCAAGGACCTGAGTCAGACTTGTACAGAGATATTTAGGGAGGCTGCGAAAGAGACTAACAACCTATGTCCTGGAGCGATCTACATCAAGCTGTTAGATTACACGCTAAGGATTCTGCTACGACTTCACCAGGCCCCAAGAAGAAAACGAGCGCATTACGAGCGACGTCGAGCCAAGGCGATCCAGGAGGCAGATAGGGTGAAGTCTACTGATCAGAAGCACACTGCTGGATACAAGACTGCGTGTCCAAGATGGCAGCCCTTTTTGACGACCTAGATCGAGCGCTAGACCTCACGGATGCCGCCGAGGTGAGGCGGAAGGTTGAGACTATTTACGGAGCACAGCCTTCACAAACCAACTCTGGTGGAGCGGGTCGTCAAGGCTCAGTTGGACAAGATCGACATTGGTCAGCCCGATAACTTCATAATATCTCTTGTTACGGCACAGGGTCTGTATTACAACAAAACATTATTCTTGCAAATGGTATTTTGCATCTCTGTAATCTAGACACTGTCTTCAGGCATCGTCTGAAGGCTTTGCAGGTACACACCCGGCGAGTTCTTCAAGACCCTAACTCGGTCCGGATACTACCACTACAGCGGAAACAATCCGTGAGCGCGCGTTCAACAAGTCTAAATTCCCTGAGATGGAGTATGAGACTGCCGCCAAGATAGTGAACGCGCTCCGACTATTCGTCGCCAAAAGCCAGGCTGCTCCAGCAGGCGAATCCGGCTTCCGTCACCCTTCGCGGTCCGTTATTCTGTTGACACCCTTTGCCATTATCGCCAACTCGACTTTGCAGACCGCTGTCTACCACAGGTTTACTAGGAGGATATGTCCCATCCCGTTAGGTACGTCAACGCACCCCTTGCTCCTCAATGCTGCAACCATCTACGAGGTGCTAGCTAGTCGTGGAATGAGCCATTTTGACGTTCTGGAGCCAGGTACCTCTGAACGAACTATCAAGTGGGCGCAACAGGCGGGAGACATCGCTGGGAGACAAGTAACTTTTGAAGCTATTTTCGACATGGAGAAGATTGGTCGAGTATGTCAGGATCATGGTCTTTCGCTTGCCCAGACGTTTCTATAATAAAGACAAACTGAACTTAGTAGAGAGGGAAATGAGTAGCAGACAAAAACATTCAACGTTACCCTCGCTTGTTATGCCATTGTCTGTCCAACACTCGCAAAAATAATAGTTCCAGATGCACACTTACGCTGAACGTGTTCTTGTACAACTCTGCGCTTCTTGGCGGAAAGAGAGCCAATGACCTCGTTTTCTCCAACTTCGATATGCTGCTCCTTAGTGCTACTTGCTATTATATCTGTGCTGCTAACGTTTGTTCTATCTAAAGTGCACACATTTCGCTGCTCCCCCAACCGTTGCGCTCATAAGCATTTGCACGAGGGAAACGAGGGAACCGATTCTGGAGCGGACCGACTCTCAAGGTAAACAAGAGTATTTTTATTTAAAATCTCCAAAGACGGCAGACAAAGAAACGAAGAGGCAATTCATTATCACTGTTGTCTTTTGCTTCTTTTTCTTCTTTCCTTCCTCTCTACATCGTCGGCCCTCTCACCTTTTCACATCTATCTCGCTCTCTCTCTCTCATACACCGCTCGTATTCCCTCCTCGTCCCTCGTCCCCCGAGCCGCACTCATAATCTAATAAGAATAATAGCCATGGGTGAGTTGAAAACGATTCCTGCACTATGGAAGATCGCCTCCCTCGCCTTCCTCCCTTTTGTACCTCAGTCCCTCATTACCTCAAATAAGCAAACCTATTTCCCAGTCCTTCTACTTTCTTCTACTTCTTTCGCCTCGCCTCAGGTTGCGTGGAAAGCATCTACATTCGCGAAGCTGCAGCCTCCCCTCTCATCTCCATTTAGGAATCACCCTCTTAACATGCATTTCGAAATGAATGAGAGAAGAATAAAGCTGAACTCCATACCAGGCTTCCTTGCTTCTACTAAGACTAACAAAGTTGGAGCTGATCGGATCATTGTTCCAGTTGCACCTTTACTAACGTGCATCCCTTCCTGTCCGTATTCTCGGTTGTGCCGATCTTATAGCCGTTCCTGTTATTGCAGCTGCTGTCCCGGCAGCCATGTACGTCGGATCAAAGTTGGCGATTCCCCGCGATGCCAAACTGGCAAAGGGCCTCATTAATGCCAAGCTGGGCTACCGCACCTACGAAAAGAACGACACTATCAACATCGCCTACCGATTCGAAGAGACCTGCAAGAAGCATCCCAACCGCGAGGCCCTTGTCTTCGAAGGTAGATCCTACACATTCCAGGACATTCAGCGAGGTAACTATGTTTTAAAACCAAGAGCATTTGTTCAAAGTGACAGGAACCATGAATCTTGAACACCTTCGATATACACTTTAAGAAGTCACCACGCTGACTGACAACATCAATTAATGCGCATATCTACTATCATCGACTGCCTTGAATAGAGTCCAACAGGTTCGGCAATTGGCTTTTATCAAAGGGTGTCAAGAGAGGAGAGATCGTCGCGCTCTTCATGCAGAACAAGCCTGAGTTCCTCTTTTGTTGGCTCGGAATCAACAAAATCGGTGCAACAGGTGCCTTCATCAACACTAACCTCGCTGGCAAACCCCTCACCCACTCCCTTCGGACCGCTACGGCCTCGATCTTGGTCATGGATGCAGAATTGCCAATCCCTATCAGTAATGTGCTTGGTGAGGTTATCGAGATGGGATACAACGTCTATTCGTATGGGGGTCCGCAACAGCATGACTTTGCGACTCCTATTGACCTGTCTCTGGTCTCCGATTCTGCCCTGCCCAGAAGTCTCAGAAAGAAGACAACTGCGAACGATATTGCTATGCTGATCTACACATCCGGAACCACCGGCTTGCCAAAGGCTGGACGGTTCTCCCATGCCCGTGCGAACGGTAACACTCTCTTTCGATATCCGACTGTTGAACAATTAGCCCCTGACGAGGAGCCGCGCATGACCATGACAACGACAACGACATGCATACAAATGGTCAAATTAAGTAATTATTGCCTTCATTCCTACTTTCTAGTTGCCGCACATTTTTGGACTTCATTCTACCACTTCAACGAGAACGACCGTCTTTACATTGCCCTGCCCCTTTATCACAGTGCAGGAGCTGTTCTCGGAATCTGCGTTGCCTGGGTGACTGGTGCCACTGTGGTCCTCGCCCGCAAATTCTCGACCTCATCGTTCTGGGATGAATGCAGATCCAACAAAGTCACCGTGATCCAGTATATTGGTGAGATCTGCCGCTATCTTCTCAACGCGCCTCCATCTCCCATGGATAAGACTCACACCATCCGCATGGCTCACGGCAACGGTATGCGCCCTGATGTCTGGAACCGCTTCCGGGACCGCTTTGGTATTCCCCTAATCGGGGAATGGTATGCCAGTACCGAGGGCACTGGTATTTTGACCAACTACAACACCGGCCCCAACGGCGCTGGTGCTATCGGATACAGAGGAACACTTGCTCGGACAGTTGACAAAGGATTGAAGATTGCCCGTTTTGACATCCAAACCGAGGAGTTGATCCGCAACAAGAACGGTCGCTGCATTGAGGTAACAACTGCTTATTTTCTGCTGCAGGCACCATGCTTTGAGGTCATCATTCACATAACTAACACCTTTCTCCTCGTCTCGCTCGATGATAGTGCGCCGCTGATGAACCTGGTGAGCTATTGACCATTATTGACTCTTCAGACCCCACTCGTGCCTTCCAGGGATATCACAAGAATGCTAGTGCCAACTCCAAGAAGGTTGTGACAGATGCATTCAAAGTTGGTATGTCGTTTATTGTTCCATTTCTGATGGTATATATGTGCAGCTACAACATGATGGGAAATTAACGTTTGAATGTTGTTTTGTATCTGTAGGTGACCAGTACTTTCGCACAGGAGATATTCTTCGTCGCGACGCAGATGGCTACTTTTATTTCGGGGACCGCGTAGGCGATACTTTCCGCTGGAAATCAGAGAATGTGTCCACGGCGGAGGTGTCTGAGGTCCTTTCAACTTATCCCGATTGCATTGAAGTCAACATCTATGGAGTCCAGATCCCAGGTCACGATGGTCGTGCAGGGATGGCGGCGATCGTCTCGAAGGGGACTATGAACTGGGATGACTTTGCCAAGTTTGCGCTCAAGAACCTCCCCAAATACTCCGTCCCGATCTTCATCCGCAAGGTGCCTGAGATGGAGATTACAGGAACGTTTAAGCAGAGGAAGATCGAGCTGGTGAACGAGGGTATGGACCCTACGAAGATCAAGGACGAGATGCTTTGGCTCGACGGCCACTCCTACAAGCCCTTCAAGAGCCCCGAGCATAGCCGTGTAGTTAGCGGTCAAGCAAAGCTGTAGACCTTTTGAAAGTAATAGACCTTAAGGGGAGCTGTAGTTTATTCTGCGCCACTGGAAAAAAAACATTAAAAAGTCAAGAGGACACTGTGAATGAATCTACCCACACACTCTTGCTCTGTTGCCCCAACCATGCCGCCCAAAAAACTGACTGGAGAGAAGAAGAAGATCGTCGAGGACAAGACCTTCGGTCTGAAGAACAAGAACAAGTCCGCAAAGGTCGGACGCTATGTCGAGACCGTCAAGAACCAGGCCATGCACGCTGGACAATCCAGGAAAGATATGGTACTTGTCACTTCTTTTAAAGATTCGATTGGGTGTGAAATGTTGTGTTCATCAAAGGCATCAATGCGGCGATGACGGCAACAAGGCTAATCATCACTTTACTTTCTATATAACGACCTTTTGGGCTTTCGACACCCTTCTTAATTCCTGAACGTACACCCGGGATCATTTCATGTTCCGTATCCATTCTGCAACTCCCCCACTCGACAACCTCGACCCGACTTTGACGAACCTCTTCTCGCCTCTTCTCTGCATTGTCAATCGACTGTGAATGAAATCAACAACAGGTTGAGAGAGAGCGTGAGAAGCAGGCAATTATTGACCGCAAGCGTGCCGAACAGGCCAAGAAGGAGGAATTGGGAGACCTGTTCAAGCCTATTCAGGTTCAACAGAAGGTGCCTTTTGGAGTTAACCCTAAGACCATCCTCTGTGCCTTCCACAAGGCCGGTACCTGCACAAAGGGAGACCGGTGCAAGTTCTCGCACGACTTGAACATTGAGCGCAAGGCGACCAAGAGGGATCTTTACACCGATAACCGTGATGAAGAAATGAAGAATGGTAGGCCTGTGTTTTTGTTGCTGTTTCTAGACGTTTCAGTTAGGAGATACAAACGGCTCATTTCCTTTCACTTTGCATATTTTTTTAATAGATACCATGGATAAGTGGGATCAGGCAAAGCTGGAGTCCGTTGTCACTTCAAAGTCCAAGGGAGGACCTGTTGCCACCACCACCACCGACATTGTGTGCAAGTACTTCTTGGAAGCTATCGAAAATCAAAAGTATGGATGGTTCTGGGATTGTCCCAATGGAGGTAAGAAACGGACCCTTTATTTTTAATGTCCTTGTTTAGAGGGACGGGTGGTGTGATCAGAATTGTATTGTGCCCATGTGAGACCCATTGCTTAACCAATTTTTCCTTGTCACGTATGCAATAGGCACACAGTGCAAATACCGCCATGCTTTGCCACCTGGCTTCATTTTGAAGACCAAGGCAGAGCTGAGAGCTGAGGCGAACAAGGAGGTGATCTCGATCGAAGAGTTTTTGGAGAAAGAGCGCCACAAGTTGGGCAAGAACCTGACACCTGTCACAGTTGAATCGTTTGCGGCTTGGAAGAAGACCCGTGCGGAACGTGTGGAGCAGGAGGAGCAGGCCAAGCGCAAGGCCAAGGAGGCTGCTTACAAGGCTGGAAAGATGCTGCAGTTCTCCGGAAGAGAACTGTTCGACTTCAATCCCGAGATTGCTGGTGCTGACGACGACGATGGCGACGATGTGTTTGATTTCTCGGCATACTCAAGGAACGTTGATCAGGATGAGACGCCTGAGGAGCTCGAGGCACGGATCACTCGCGATATGGCCAATGTCAAGGTTGACGATGAGTTGTTTGCGGGCGAGGAGGATGTTGATGTCAGCGATGACGAGTAATTATGTACGCCAGAGGAAGGAGACCATCACCAAATATCAATAAAGCATAAATAAATAGGACCAGACCAAGTGCACTTTCTCTCTTTCTCTCTCTCTCTCTCTCTCTCTCTCTCTCTCTCCTTCGCATTCATACACACACGCGCGCAGTTTTCCATTTCATTTCTTTCATTCTTTCAAGCCCACACACATACATACCACAATCATCACAAGCACTCCATCGATCCATGTCAAAGCCATATATTATCCTTTACTACCAAGAGGCATCTTGTGCAGAGAAAGTGGTGGTCGCATTGAGGGTCATTAGCCTCCCCTGGTACTCTGTCCCCACAGGCCCCATGGAGCATCGACCGTGCGTCCTTTCTGTCGAGTGTACCAACTGACAAAGTAACATTGCAGCCCATTTGTCTCCCTCTGCGCGATCTCACCTCTTTGTATGGCTTCGTCTTTCTTGACTTGCAACAGCCTTTGCTAAAATAGATTGTTAGATCAATTGGCGCAAGGATATCATCGGATTCCTGTGATGCAAATCGGCAATAACGTCTATTGCTACACAGCATTGATCCTGTAGGAACTTGGACGAAGATGCCTCTGAAACAACTCAAAAACATCTCTTCGTCAACGTTCGGGACCAAACGCCATGGGCAAAAGGCGAGTCCTCAATCAGCTGACTTTGGGAGCCCGGCTACAGCTCTCAGGGGGACGAATCCGTCAATACCTTTTTTCTTCAAGGTAAAGGGACGACCCGTGTGAGCCCAAGAGACCCTTGTTGCTTTGTGGGCGCGTTCAAGTGATCTAGGTGTGCTCCTCCTCCAACTCCTAGATGACCCTGTTGCCTCTCCTTTCCATAATATCCATGCGCCTCAGGCCCAGCAGAGTTTCGATGACTGCTCGATCAGTCACTCGAGTATCGCTCTGCTCGCCTGGGCACCGCTGTTTCCTGTGTTCTGCTACGGCTCGTCCGCAGAGGCGCTCGTCCTCTCGAGGTTTCCGCCCATAGATCTGTTGCCACCTGTGGGACTGTGTCCACTGTGCCCTCTGGTCCTTGGTGGTGCATGTGCGCTTCATTCTATTGGTGATGCTGTTTTATTCCTCCCACCTGATGGTCCTCTCGCAACGTGGCTTCCATAAGTGCTCCTTATCCTCCTTCTCGACATATCGGCAAAAGTGACGGCTTACGTGCTGGGCAATGCTCTCTGCTACGTCCTTGAACACCTTGCTCCACTGCGTAGCTAGGACCTTCAACACTAGGCCCCGGTAGATGTGGCTGGCTGTCCACGCTCGGGATGTGTTGTTCTGGCTCCTCCTCCTCTTCCTCGTCTGGCCTCCTGATCGCCTGCCACAGCGCCTTGCGGAGCTTGCTGGTTCTTGGTATCCTCCATACGGTCTCGGGGGTAGCTATTTTCGTGCTCTAGAGCAGGTAAATATCCATCCCGAGAACGGGTCTTTGGAAAAGCTCGAGGTCTTCATGCACTTTCCTCGCATTATTGTTCCGATTGGAAAGGCTGCGCTCTGAGCACTGATGTTGATGTTGATGTAGATTGTAAATAACATAGTGAAAGCCGCTCAAAATCGACTAGAGGTAAGGCGTGGGGACGCGACCAAAGCCTGCCCAATTCTACTGGTGAGCTCTGGTAGCAGGAGTGTGTGTAGGTGCGTCCTGGCAAGCTGACTGATGCGGTGGCTTGTCATATAGTTGGGTGAGATAGAAAGAAACAAAATATCGTAGGCTATGGGTGGAGTGTGTCAACAGCGCTACGGGGCTATACACAAGTGCGCACGTAGGGTAAGTAATTTTCGACGATATCCATTTCCGCTTTCTTTATTTTAGTTCTTGAGAACTCAGAAGGTATTTAAGATGCGCGCACAGTCGGGGCCAAGATCCGACTAGTCGCAAAAAAGGTATTCTGAGTGCTATGGTAAACTAAACAGGGAGATAAGGCATTTACGAAATAAAAACGAAGAGAAAAAAAAATAGGCGGTTGAGGTGAAGATGCTAAAATAATGATATAGAACTGGGTCAAAGCAAAAAAATATATGTAAAGAAATGGGCGTTTTTGCTCAATTGAGAAACCAAGCGGAAGAATAAACAATTCGACGGGTTGGTTTGCGGCTGTTGAAGCGGCCTTGTCCTTTGAAATCGCATTTGAAGCGATAGCATTGAAAATTCACGTCTCTTCGGTGAAGAAAAGGCCTTGGCGGTGTGAAGAAAGGACGAAGTCAAGAGTATAAAACTGGTAAACAAACAAACGAAGGTAACAAGACGTACGCAAAAGATGTGTTAAAAAAGACGAATTGACAGGCGATGTGTTGAATAGAGTAAAGAAAAACAAAAGAAAAAGAAAAATAAAAGGGTTGATAAAAACAAAGGATGGCGAACGGTGCAAGGTCGAGCTTCGGCGTAAAGATGGGGTCGATAATAACAAAAAGATATATCGTAACCAAGTGGGCTGGAAAGAAAGTGGACCAATTGCTTCAAAAAAGAGAAAAAGTTGTTGCCGAGACGGGGGTTATTGTTTTCATAAGATGTCGGAATGTCCTGTTGAAGGTTTCCATTGTATGTTGTCGTCCATGCTATACGCAAACGGATCGGTGAAGAGAGAAAAAAGAGAAGAGAGGGACCGATACATGCAAGATCGATTTCAGCTTCAGGACGAGCTCCCATTCAAGGGGTCGTCAATGGGGTTGGGTAGTTTAAAAGAAGACGTGGGAGGCCTCATCTCAGGTGGCCAATCCGTCGTTGTCGGAGCAGGAGCCCTTGACAGCGAGGTGGCGACGGAGACCGTCTTGTCGGGAGAAGGGCTTAAGGCACTTTGTGCAGGCAAAGTTACGCTCGCCCTTGTGGACGGAAGCCTCGTGGCGCTGGAGGTCATGCTTGCGAGAGAAGGCCTTGCCGCATTCGGCGTCAGAGCAGATAAAGGGGCGGGCTTGCTCAGGGTCGTGGGTCTTCTCGTGAGTGTGCAGGTTGAAGAGACGGGCAAAGCGACGGTCACATCCGGAATGGTTGCAGGAGAAGCGCTTGGTGGCAGTAGCCTTGGTGGCAGCTGTGATAGCGGTGAGCCCGATGGTCTTCTTGACGGGTGATAAGGCGGCAGTGGAGGCTTTGCGTTTTAAACCAGAGACCAAGGCAGCTGAGCGAGAGTGAACAAATTGGTCATCCTCCTCGTCGTCATCGGTGGCCATGCTGTCGTGGTCAAAGTGAGTAGCGACGGCCTTGACGGGCGAGGGGGGGGCCGAAAGGAGGTCAGAGATACCAGGCGAGGGCAGAGTGAACTGCTGGTCAAAGGGCAAGAGCATGTTGGGGGCAATCGAGTAGACTTGGTCGAAAGAGGTGTCGAAGGCAAAGTCGGGGAAGAGCGAGGAGAAGCCGGCGGTGTGGGAGGCAACGGCAAACTTGGAGTGGGCAGACTCGAGACCAAAGTCAAGGTAAGGGGTCTCGAGGGCGACAGCGTCGACGAGGGCTGGAGTGTCGAGGTAAGGGGAGAAGGGGGTGTTGAGGAGCGACAACTGAGGGGTCAGAGTCGAGTCATCAAAGAGGGCATCGAAGCCGAGCGCAGCGCCGCGGGCAGCGGGGGCGGATACGAGGTCGATGGAGGGAGTCTGCGGGGTGCAAAGGGGATTGGTAGTCAAGAAGGCAGCAGCGGCAGCGTTGTTTCCAGCAGGAGTAGCCTTTTTGTTCACGGCAACGGCAGGGTTGAAGAGCGGGTAGTCGAAGGAGGACTCGTCGGCGGCGTCGTAGAGACAGAAGTCCTGACTGATGGTGTTGATGGGGGCAGACATTGAGAAGAGGGTGTGGAAGAGGGCGGATTCGGCAGAGTCAGAGGGTGAGACAGAAGTGGCAGAGGCAGAAGAGAAGGTAGAAGAGTTGTTGATGGAGGTGTTGGTAAACATAGAAGGTGAAGAAGAGTGGTGAGAAAGTAAAGAAGTGTATGAGTGAATGGTGGAGAGGTTGGCAGATTTTTTTTGTTAAGGTTGCTTGTAGTTGGAAGTGAGAGAGTAGAGGAGTGGAAGGAAAGAGAAGAAGAGAAGAGAGAAGAAAAGGAAAAGAAATCTAAATATGGGGAGATAGCGAAATAGGAGGGGAAAAAAATCTTTTCCTGCTGTTTTCCTTCCCTCTCATCGCATCCATCCCCTTTACTGCGGCCCTTTCTTGGTCGGATAAGGTTTCAAGGCATAGAAAACCAGACGCCGCTCTACCAGAGATTAATAATGAGCTGGAAAAAAACCCTCAGATAGTCTACATTCATGTACACAGGACATGGCCGAGAGCAGTGTTTTTGCCACTGGTCTGCGTCGACTCTCATCTTTGACAAACTCAATTCACCCTTCCCTTCACCCTTCCCTTCACTCCTCACTTCTTCTCTCTCGCTCTCTCTCTTTCTCTCTCTCTCTTTCTCTCTTTCTCTTTCTCTCTCTCTCTCTCTCTCTCTCTCTCTCCCTCCCTTCTTATATAACTCTTTCTTATTTAGCTCTCTCTTATCTATCTCTTTATCTCTCGTTTTTTCTCTATACAAATAATACGACCCTCTGGAGCGAATGGAGCAAATTTCTCATTGCGGCTTGAGGTCAACTGAAAAAAGACACAAAAACAAACAAACAACGCCAGCCAATCAATTCCTGGGCTGGGGGGAGAAGAAAAAAAGGGAGGAGAGGTCCAAAAGGTGTATTGCTCTCTCTCTCTTTCTCTCTTCCTTTCTCTTCCTTTGTGAAAGGCACTAACGAAGGAGAGTGATGTCGTTATGCATGCCAGCTCCGCGGACCACTTCTTACAAAAATCAACAATGACATCGTCCCCAAAAGTCCATTTTGTAACCCCGCCACATTTTCTACACTGCCACCATCAAGACACCTGGCCTAGAACCGCAAGCATGCAGGCAGGCAGGATCATGTTTTTAATGTCTATGCTATGTTCAAAGTGATAGATGATCGATAGTTTTGTACCCACCGCCAGGTCCCCGTGAGGCAGGCAAAGAGATTGGGGCCGAGACACTCGCCCCACCCAACCCCAAATCACTACCCAACTTGCGATCCGTAGACCCCCTGGTCTGAGGAATAGGCTGCGACCGCTGTTTGACGGGCAGCGGAGGCAAGTCCATCAGCACCGCCTCGTGATCTGGGGCAGATGAGAATGGTGTCAATGGCAATGGCTGTGGAACGGAAATCAGGGCTGAATGGACATCTTTCTTCGGCGCGCTGGCTTTCGGTCGAGCTATAGATAACCCTGGACCTATGCTTGCGGCCGGACGTGGTGCGCATGAGCCCAGAGAAGTGACGGAGCTGGTGGAAGGTCTAGGCACCGCATTGTTCCTGCCTTGGGTACGACGGGAGGGAAGATTGAACCCTCCATACGTGGGTGACTGTGGAGGCGACGACAACGAAGACCGGCCCCCGTCCTCGCGAGGGGTTCTTCCTCCAAAGACCGATTCGCGAATCTGGCTGCGACTACTATCAGTCGGACCATTACATGACAGGCCCACATCAGAGGAGGGCAAGGCCGTAGGTCGTGGTGGAGGAGATAATGAAGAAGACCGGTACAGTTCCTGTCCCCCATAACATCCCTGCTCCAGTTCATCATCGGCGGTACTCTCCCAATGGTTGCAGAATTGATCCATAGAATACTTTTCGCTTGAAACTCCATTTTGGAGGCTATTGTCTTCGCGCGAACTTGTCCGGGAAATATGGAGTGGACATACATCATGTTCGGTTCTCGATATGGTGTGTCGGGACATGCTGCTGAGAGTAGATTCCAAGTAAGGGCCTCCCGACGACTTGTGGATGTTCTCGTGACGTGGCAGAGAGGGATGACCGTCTGATTGTCCATTAGAGGGCTGATGAAGCCCTCTCCGACGGTTCCGGACTGTCTGGGCGCCAACGAGAGCCAAAAGGACAAAGAATGCAACGGTCATGGCCGTGGTCCAAAAGAAAGCCCCTGTCAAAGGGATTGCAATGCTGTTCATGGATAGTATCTTTTGCTGGGCGACGACCCAGGCCAGACATCCTCCCCCTCCAGCGATTGTCACTGCGGATCCACCAAAGCCCATGATTTGCAACTGAACAAACAAAAAACGAGCCGGTGACCTCGACGTCAAGTTGCCGATTCCAAACGTTGATCGAGGGGCGTTGAGTTCTGCCTCAGCGATGATGATGTTGGCTCGGAGGATGAAGGTGTACTTGAGTCCATAATAGAAGAACATTACGGCCAGAGACCAAAAGATCAAGACCCAGTTGGAGTACTGGAGGAGCATGGCGATCCTTGAGCCGTCATAGTTTCCGCGATCGTATAAGACTCCAGAAATGATCCCGAGTCCCATGCCGGTCACCGTAGGATAGAGACCTCCGATGGCGAGGATGATGTTCTTTGTGGTGTTGGAGGGGATCATAACGTGAATCGGGCGAAGTGTCTTCCCGCTGACAGACGTCTCTGGCTGATAAACGGCAAAGATGCCCTCCCGCGTGGTGACCGGCATGGCGTACAACAGCCCGACAAAGTACGATGTGAACGCGAAGCTGACAAATACCCTAGTAACATACGAATGAGACGATATCCATGAGTCTTCAAATCGCATCGCTATTGCATTTTTCTCATTCAGAAAGCGATAGGGAATGAAACACAAAAGAGACATGTCATCCACACTCTATGCATACCAATAAAGCTCTTCCACTGCAATGCGGAAGGCCATATTCGCAGGAAGTACATTAAGGATGTTCAAAAGGTTGCCTGGTAGTTTGACAAAACTTGCGACCGTCGTGAAGAAAATGATGCAGTCCATCTACAAAGCAAGAGCATATGTGAGTTGTTGTATGCATGTCAAAAAGAGCAGAATTGCGGAGAACAAGGAAGCCTAGTCGCACTTACTGGCTTGGGACGGAGACCATCGCCAACATACATAAAGAGGTCTGTAACGATCTTGAAGTTCAGGCCCCTGTTCCGATAGGTCATTAACCAAACGCCAAGGATCCCCGCTGTCAAGTGGCACACAGATGATGCGACCAGCAAGATTTTGAAGACGTTCGATGCCCTGCAGTTGTCTGTCGTCCTTGGCCAATCGCAAAACATGTCAGAGGACGAGAGTTGTGCTTCAGCAGCTGCTTTCAACGAAGGTGCAGTTGTTGAAAGCGAGGGTAAAGGCAATAATGGCAGTAGTGGTGATGCTGTTGTTGTTAGAGCAGCAGCGGCTATTGTCGATGCTAAGCCTACCAATGCGACACCCGCGAGAGCTACCCTGGTTTGGAAAGGGATGGTCATTTTCTAGGAAATAGGGATCGTCTAAATCAATATTGGCAGATAGACAATCCGGTTAGGCTCCGCTGAGTAATCACGAACCATGAACCACAGTGCCGAAATTCAATCGGCGGGTGAAAACGAGGCGACTTACTATCTAGCTACAGGAAGGTGGCTCTTGGTTTTCGAGGAGAGAGAAAGGACGCTTCTTCTAGGGGCTATGTGCCGTTTGGACGCAAATAGCGCGTGGGAGAGAGTGTGCTGGTGTGAAGAGAGAATTATGGAATGACGGAATGAGCTCACTGACTGAATGAATGAAATGGAGGTGCAATGTCAGTCGGCGAGGAAGGACGTGAAGGGTGACGGGAGGGGTGCTATTATTATAGGAGTTGGCGCACACTCGGCGTTCTATAGAAGGAAGTAAAGAGGGAGGAGAAGGAAGGAGGAGAGTGAGATAGAAGTGGATGGGGTGAGGGTGAACGCCGCCGAAGTGGTGCGTCGAGGAGCGGAAATGGGGTACGGATTGTGGAGGAGCGTCGAAAAAAAAAGGGGGAGAGGAGCGAGCCCAAGTTGCTTAAAAAGAAACAGCAATTGCTTGGACCAGCCAAGGTTGAGTTGGGCTATCATCATGCGACAAGGCAAGCGAGCGAAAAGACGAGCAAACGAGGAAGCAAGGTGGCAAGGGAGTACGAACCGGGCTCAGTCGTGCTTGCTTCTTTGTTGCCCATAGTTTGTTTGTTTTTTTTGTATTGCCTTTCCTCGTTAGCTCCTGATTGTGGAATATGTAGGTACTTTGTGCTCGAATACGAGTGTGAATATTGAGCAATGGTTCTTGGAATATCTTGTATGGCGGAAAGAGTACCATGGACATGCCGCTGCCCATATGTCAATGTGGGCGTGCTTTTTGTCCCGAGAATCCAACCGTTTGTCCTCGCCTGTTAGGCCTTTCGCAATAAGCCAGAGATGATTCAACAAGGTGCAAACACAGTGAAAGGATTTGGAAGGCAACAGACTGAGAGACGGGTGGGCATGGCATGTTTTTTCTTCCGTCCTTACACCATCCTTACACATTTTTGCCAGCACACAGAATCTACCATTTCCCTTTGCGCCAATCCAATCACATACCTCTCCGCTAAACAAAATCATCGTCGTTGGACTGTACGAGCTTCCTTGCTTTCCTTATACTCCACAACAGAAACACCAAGACAAAGGAAGGTGCTCTCGTTCCATGGGCGCAAACACGGACGAGAACAAAGAGTAACGTGAAAATAGACCGGCACATGCTTCAAAACCTTGTGTCGTTGTGCTTATATTTTTTTGTATGTGTTTTCTTTCTATTGGGATGTTTGTATCACTGCATGTACGTGGGGCATTGATGGATGTGCCTCTCTCCAAAAAGTACAAGGAATGTAATACATAGTCTAATATAGACTACCACTTTTCGTCGCCAAGGGCGGAGTCACCTCTCCCTTTATCTTCTCCCGCAGGAATGTTCGGATTTGGGATCCTGTTTATTTCGCAGGACCTGTATCAAAAGAGGTGGAATGTGGAGATTTTGTGGGATCATCAATGATAAGGAACGCAGCATGCAGTTTTTATTCTTTTTCTTTTCTTCAAACTCTCTCTCAAACTGTTTTTTTTTAATTTTTTTTTGTGCACAATTATATTTGTCTGACAATCCACACGAAAAAGGCATGTGGAGTAAAGGACCTACAGTACAACCCAACTCTTCAGAACGCCGTCCACCAGCTGCAGTCCGATCCGGAACCTGGCTCTGCATAACAATTGTCGCTGCTCTTCACAGCTTAAACGGAAGAGAATAAAACTAGATACGAATGAAGAGGATTCTTCCCATCCTCTCCATCATTGACAACCTCCTTCTTCCTAACAAACTCTCCAACAACCGCTCGTCAGCAGCGCGTGGGTCCTTGGTCGCTCCAGGGCGCCCTGTATGGTTTAAATTTTTTTTTTCGTACACAATTTTATTTCTCTAACAAACAGCATGGAGAAGTTATTTGGAAGTAAAAGGGGACTACAGACCAAACTCTTCAGTGCACCATCCGCCAGTCGCAGTCCGGTCCAGAACCTGGCTCTGCGCAACAATTGTCGCTGCTCTTCACAGCTTAAACGGAAGAAACTAAAACTAGATACGAATGAAGAGGATTCTTCCCATCCTCTCCATCATTGACAACCTCCTCCTTCCTAACAAACTCTCCAACAACCGCTCGTCAGCTTCGCGTGGGTCCTTGGTCGCTCCAGGGCACCTTCCTTCTTCATGTGTGGCTAGCGAAGCGCCACACGGGCAGAAACCATCATGCGTGATGTAGGCTTGATGTTTTTTTTTTTTCGTACACAATTTTATTTCTCTAACAAACAGCATAGAGAAGTTATTTGGAAATAAAAGGGGACTACAGACCAAACTCTTCAGTGCACCATCCGCCAGTCGCAGTCCGGTCCAGAACCTGGCTCTGCGCAACAATTGTCGCTGCTCTTCACAGCTTAAACGGAAGAAAATAAAACTAGATACGAATGAAGGGGATTCTTCCCATCCTCTCCATCATTGACAACCTCCTCCTTCCTAACAAACTCTCCAACAACCGCTCGTCAGCAGCGCGTGGGTCCTTGGTCGCCCCAGGGCACCTTCCTTCACAATGTGTGGCTAGCGAAGCGCCACACGGACAGAAACCATCGTGCGTGATGTAACCGTATCCTTGACTCCAGTCACCTCGGGGGCCTGTGTATTTGGATGTCTTGTCCTTGGCAGAGATACCCTGGGTCTGCTCCCACGCGATCGTCGCGGAGCACCGAGGTTTCCAGATCAGCTCCGAGGCCTGCGCCTCCAGGTAGCCAACAAACTTGTGAAGGACTGTCTTGGCGATAGACATTGGGGTCCGGAAGACCGCGGACCATTCAGTCAACATGCTCAAGGGGGTGATGCCGCGGAGGAGATCCGACACATTCCACATCGGTTTCTCGTCTCGATCGGGAGCTGGACTACCGCTGTGCACGGCTCGAGCTCCACCGATGGAGGAAAATCCTCGCACATGATCCGCATCCGAAGGGGGCCACCAGTGTATGGGTACTGGCCTCGGTACCTGACGACCTCTGTCCACCGCGCGTTTGTATTCTCGCTTCCTGGCTGCGTTGTAGCTGTTTGTCGCCTGCACACCCCACTCATTAATCTTGCCCATGGCCTCCTTCCAGATCTCAGTGGTGGTCTCAGCTGCCGAAGGGCATTTCCAGACATGATCGTTATCCTCCTTCTCGAGCTCGCATCGTCGGCACACGCATGTTGGGTACAGGTTGGGCTTGCGAACCTGCATGGAGTTCAGAGTGGGCAGCATTCCATGCAGCTTTTTGATATGATGTGTGCGTTGGTGAGAGTCCTTGCTGTTGTTGTAAAAGGTGAAGACTGCGTGCCTGTCGTGGACATAAGCCAAGGTCGAGTTCCATTCCACGTCATCGATGTCAGGGATCGCCCTCTTGACCCGCCTCTGTGACGTCCAGGCCTGATGGTGACGGATTGTCGATTGTTGTTTGAGGAGCTGACGTAGATCGATTTCAACAATCCCGCCGTAACAATGTGCAAAGGTCGTGATATCCGTCTGTTGAGTGAGATCCGCCATCCAGGGCACTGAACCACTCTGTGCTGCCACCTTCGCCGCCTGATCCGCAAGTTCGTTTCCGTGGATGTTGCTGTGACCTTTGATCCACACCACTTCGACCCTGCCTGGCCGAGATTCCACAACCTGCCAAAGCACCGCCCAGATACCCGCATATGTACTCCTGAATCGCTTCCTCGGTAAGGTGTCCCGACGATTCTTCACCAGGCGACTATACCGTTCCACCACTGACTGATTGTCCAGCTTGACCACAATGTCCTGTTCCGGTGGTGCTGACAAGACTGCGGCTAATAAGCCCATGAGCTCGGCCTTAGCCGAGGATGCGTGACCGTCCGTTCGTCCTTGTACTGTCAGAGGGTTGTCCTGAGTGAGATCTACCACTCCAAAGGCCTGGGATACTTCTAGCGTTCCCGAGTTCAGAAGAGATCCGTCAGAGTACAGGACGCGAGGGGTAGAGTTGTCGACGTGTGTGTCCTGAACTACGCGCATTGACGCCGCCTCTCCTGGAGACAGGCAAAGTGGGCCGATCTGTGTGGTCGGGGGTCCTGGTACAGGCGGTGGTTGGACTTGATGGCGTTCTTGCAAAGGAAAGCTAGCATCTGTGTCAAAGGCTGGTCTGTATCGTGGTTTCGTTTCCTTGAGGCTGGATAGGATCTCTTTTAGGCGAGCGACGACCAAGCGGTGTTGTTGACGGAGTGCTTCCTTTTCCTTTTTCTGCTGCAGTCTCCTGGCTTGGTGTTGTTGACGGAGTGCTTCCTTTTCCTCATTCTGCTGCAGTCCGCGGAGGACTCGCACATGATCCGCATCCGAAGACCTTGTATGGTGATTTTTTTTTTTTTTTTGTACACAATTTTATTTCTCTAACAAACAGCATAGAGAAGTCATTTGGAAGTAAAAGGGAACTACAGACCAAACTCTTCAGTGCACCATCCACCAGTCGCAGTCCGGTCCAGAACCTGGCTCTGCGCAACAATTGTCGCTGCTCTTCACAGCTTAAACGGAAGAAAATAAAACTAGATACGAATGAAGGGGATTCTTCCCATCCTCTCCATCATTGACAACCTCCTCCTTCCTAACAAACTCTCCAACAACCGC